CAAAATAATAACAACCCATATTTTATGTATCAACACCGTCTATGAATTAGCATCAATTCTGTGCCCCACAACGTCCCACAGTGGGATACTGTGAGATGTACCGTGAGATATTATAGATACTGTAAACGTAAAAATACGGACAGGTCCAATACACGACCGAGATGTGATGTACTGTAAAATACTGTGGGGCACCCTCTTATGAGACACAGATGTGAACTCTCAATTCAGAATCGGCACCTACCCGAATAGCACTTTGTGCCTATAAACTGAACGGTATTAGAATGAGTTTAAGTTATGGGCACTCGGGCCGAGCAGATTTTAGAAACTATTTCGAGTTAAGTAAAAAGATCATTCCTACATTAAATTGCTGAAACTTTTCCCATATGTTATGACAGCTGTGGTTCAGTATACTTAATAGCACTGTCCTTTTTCCGAGGGTTTTGACACATCTACATCAAGGGATAAAATGACCAAAGTACCCATTTGTTATGAAAATGGATGCTCAATATTATCACTTCCGTTGTGGATCATCATCATCATCTGCATTTTGCCACCACAATGTTCATGTCATGACCACTGTTCTTAGGTGGCTAGGGTATATTTACAAACCTCCCATCTGCCACAGCTTCTCCTATTGTTGGAATGAATGTGAGCTTCATGTGGAACTCATCAATGGAATTCTATAATACAAGCCGATATGCCAGGTGTATGGGCTTGTATTGATACTTTTTTTAAGTTTTATTTATTTATTTTTTTAAACTGGTTCAAAGGGGTCAGTTTAAGGTTTGACTATCCTTTGAATCATGGTCTAACCCAATACAACCCCTAGATGAATTATCGAGAAACCATTGGCACGTTTGAACCTTGAATCTGTCTATATTGTCTTCTTGAAGTTGTCTTTGACAAGATTCGAGACATTGATAATGCAAATGACAAAGTAACTAGAGTCAACAAACATATCCTAAAAATTCAAAGACTTGATTGGTGCATGGAACTTAGACTCATGTATACAGTTTAGTAACATTGGGAGGGAAACATCTCTCGAGATTAAGATGAGAGAGTTCCACTGAGAAGTGGCATGCAGTTACAAAACCAAAGACACCATGAAGTTTCCTTGTTCAACTGCATTACAAAGAAGGTCTACAATGGAATTCATGCATATAGTTCTTCCTTAAATGGCAATAGTTGCCATCTTGTGAGTTATGGCAATATTTTTCAAGCTAGTTTCTTATAGAACCTCAAAGAAGAAGTATCTGAATGAGGATGACGAGGTTGGTTTCATCATCCCTCTCTTTCTAAATTTGGAGAGCCTGGTTCTAGGTTTTGAGTTCATTTTCATATTCTTAATAATGCTGAAGAGTCACTGTTTCTGCTGTGTATTAGCAGTTTTCGTTTTAGCTTCTACTCCCTCTTTAATTCATTCTATTGGGTAGTTGACCCGATTTGAAAGACAAATTGTTTTTTGAGTTCAAGAACTCTAAGAATTTGGATGTCCACCGGTGTTTGGCGTGGAGAGATTTCTTACTCACATTCTCATAATACAAATACAACTTGGGGATGTATGGCTGTAATTCAAGGCAAGTAATGTGTAGATAGAGAATAGTTGGCAGAAAATCCGGTTTGGTGTGTTATGGACAGATTTCCTATTCACCTTCTCTACCCGCACCCTACCCACAGTATATTGCAACCGCACATCTCACAATACAAGATGGCGATGTGTGTCTGCAATTCAAGGCGGGTAGAGAATAATAGGCAGGAGTTTCGGATGTCCTATTTATATAAGCTTCGTTTCAAATTTAATTTCATTTGATTCTCTTCAACGAGAAAAATTGTTTCTAACAAAGATTGGACGTTTGCCGGATGTGAAGAGCTTTAGAATTCAAATTTTGTTAAGCCACTTGTGGTTTTTAGAGGTGTAAATCAGGTCATTCTGCCCGTGGCCTGGCACAATAGAATGCAGGCCATGCCGGGCATAACATGATTGTATGGGCCTTGCCACGCCTAGGGTTTCAGGTCTATGGGCCAATATGGCACGACACGACTATGCATTTCATGCCGCTCCCCTAGTTCAAGAGGGTTAGGGACCCAAATTTTAAGCACGAGTGGGATTTAGGTGACGTTTGATAAATCTGAAATCTGAAATATGAAAAGTTAAAAAGTTATTATTTGTGTCTGAAATTTGAAAAGCAGCATAGATACTTTTCTACTTTATAAAGGCTATGAATAGATAATATTGTTTGTGTTGGATTAGTTCTTCACCATCTGAAATTGCTTCATTTTACTATTTTACCCCTAGAAGAGATAAAGAGATCAACTGAGAGAGAGAGAGAGAGAAGAGAGAGAGAGAGAGAGGGAAGAATGAAATGTTTTCCGACGATCGGTCTTTGCAACCTCTAAAGCACTTTAGGGTTTCTTCTCCATGGTGTTTTCGACGACTAGTCTTTGTGACCTGTAAAGCACTTTAGGGTTTTTGCAACCTCTAAAGAATGGGATGCTTCTCGGTGATTGGTCTTTGTGGCCTCTAAAACACTTTAGGGTTTCTTCTCCGTAGTGTTTCTAGCAATTGGTTTTTCTGATGATGTATTAGTTTATCCAGTAAGGCTCCATTTGGTTTATGGGATAGGGATGAGAAAAAGTGAATATTCCAAAAATATTCTTTTTTCTCTTATTTGTTTTGAGGGGAAAAGGGGGATGAGATGAGAAAAATATGGGATGCAGGATCCCAAAAATGTGTAATCGGGATCACACCAAAACAGTGCGACCTTGGTGGGAAAACTTGAGAGCGGCAATGAACCAACGACAACAGTGGCGATGAACTAGCGACGGTCCCTTCCCCTTGGTTTCTCTCTCTCTCTCTCTCTCTTTCTCTCCCTCTCTTTCTTTCTTCTTCTCCTTCGTTTTTGTTTTTGCTCCCCTGTTACCATCGAACCAGACACTATTCATTGCCTTCCCCATTCGGACAGAGAAGGTGGTGGTGGCAAGAGAAGTAGTACAAGGGGTGCATCAAAACACATTCTCCCACTATGAAAATCTGTAAAACACAATCTCCCTCTCTTCGAACAAGGGTGGCAGAGGAATAGCGTCTCCTCTCCCGATCTATTCTCCATCTCTCTGTCTCTCCCTCCTTCCTCCCCCTTTGAATATCTTTCTTTCTCTGATCTCGCCGCAACAACTCTTGGCAGCAGTGATATGCTTTCTCAACACTCCCATCTCTCTCTCATTCCCTCATTCCCCCCCCCCTCTCTCTCTCTCTATTGGTGTGCTTTTTGTTTCATCGTTAGGCCGCTCAACTCATCTCTTTGTCGATGATAACAAGGGAGTTGTAGTCATGGAGCTCTTTTCTTCATCTTACATGAATCCGATGAAGAACCAGGTCATGGCAGTACTTTTCCTACTATTTTCCCATATAAAACTAATCAATGAAAAGTTAAATTTTTACACCTTCCCATTTCATCCCATCCCATCCTACCCAAATCTTCCCACAAACCAAATGGAGTCTAAGGTTGYAGTGGTGGTAAAGCGGTGGTGATGAATAGGGGGAGTGATGAAGACAAAGGGGCAATGAGAACAGGGGAATCAAACGAAGGGAAGAAGAGAGAGAGAGAAGAAGAAGAAGAAGAAGAAGAAGAAGAAGAAGAAGAAGAAGAAATTGCAATGACAATGATGTGAAGCAGAGGATGCAAGAGAACGTCTGGGAAGAAGAACATCTCAGAGAGAGAGAAAGCTGATGGAGGAAGCTTGTTGCAGTTGCGTCAAATGGAGAAGATGAACAATGCCTAAAACACAAGTCTTGTTAGTTCAGATCATTTTAAGGTTATTTTGGTCGTTCGGCCAGGTCTGAAACGTGTTTGATAGCATTTAGTGCCTGGATTCATTTTACATCTCTATTCAGATAGACATCCAAATTTTATAAAATTATAAGCTGTTGTGCTTGGGATAATGAATTCTCACATCGGTTAAGGACAATCCTGACGTTTACAAAAGATTAGAGAATGATGCCAATGTTTTCTGTTATCATTTATGCGTCAACTTAACAGAAGGGATGTAGGTGTAATAACGACACAAACCTCAGGAATATAATGTTATTAGCATAAAGCAAGGTACTGAAAAAATTTAACTTCCAACTGTCAAGAATTTAAAGGGGAGCTGTACCTTGATGCTGCTGCTGCATGTAGGGATGGCAATTTTAATTTTCTCCATTCTCGATGGGGAACGGGATCTGTTCCTCACACTTGGGCGCCTCACATGCACATCCACCGTGCATTAGGAACATTTCTTGTAAAAAATAACTTATAAGTACAGGAGTTGCTCCCGATGCACAGTAGATGTGCATGTGAAGCGCGCGTGAGGCGCCCTATGTAAGGATCAGATCCGGTCTCCCCCGACAGGGATCTGACTCTTCGATATGATGGGATTGGAGATGAGAACTGTTTTGGCGGAGTAAGAACGAAAATTAATAGGAATCCCCAATCAAGATTGGGGTTGGGGTCGAAGTCAAGGTTAGGGATGGGGATTGAAGTCCCTATCCCGCCCTAACCCTTTATATATATATATATATATTTAAATATCATATATATATATATATCAAAACATATTTAAAACATTATTTATAATTTAAAATTTTTATTTATTTTAAATAAATTTATTTTTTTTAAATACTATTATCTATAACAATTTCGAAGATTCGGGTCCCATGGGGAATCCATGAGGACGAATTTTATCCCCTTCCTAGCTGCATGCTGCTGTCTCTGCCCAGTTTCGAAGATTTCTTTAGCTGCGCGCCTTGTACCCAAAAAAACCATACAAGAAAAAAAAAAAAAAGAAAGAAAGAAAGAAAAAGTATACATCAGCATTCAGCAGAGCTTCTCTCCCACGCGCAGGCGCACGCGGAAAAGGATGGCTCATATCTACCCAAAACCAACCTCTTTTTCACAGTCGGCTCAGCTGGTCACAAATCCATTATTCAACCCAAAAGGGCCAAAACAAAGTGCGACTCGATAGATAAAATCCCACGAAATAGCCGATTAAGGAGAAATTTTGGAACAACAAACAGTAAATAAACTCTGAAACACAAAAACATTTGCAGCTTTTCGCTTAGATGCCTCGGGAAATTGCTACTATGGTTTCACTAGACTGGCTCGGATCACTTCATGAGTCATGAATCATCATCACCTAGCTACATTCATACACACATATTCAATTAAAAAGCAAAAGAGAACAGAAAGAAACACCACAAAGGCTTGCTTATTGTGCTCGGAATTTAATTAAAAGATAAAAAGTACATCACCCAAGCCACAAAAGGAGAAGCATGATTTGGTCAAATTTGCACCCCCAAAAAAAATCAAGAAAATATAAACAGAAGATCAACACTTTGTATTGATGGTTAATGGATGAACGACTAATAAAAAAAAATAGAAAAGAAAATCAAATTCACATGCCTTGAGAGTTAGAGACCCGATTCCTGAGTTACACTAAAGAACGTAAATTCACAGGCCCTGACTCCTGAGTTCTCCCCGTCGTCCATGGCAAGCCGACGTTAACTGAAGAATGAAACTGAAAATCCGTATGGGCATCTGACGAAAAATCTGGAGATTTATTACCCTTCTTGGACCAAAGCCAGATCTTGGAAACAGAGAAGCTCTCCCCTCTGCTCCAACTGCTTAGCTTCTTTCCCTCAACGTCCCCATCAACCGAAGAATTTCCATTCTGTCCTCCTCTCCCTTTCACAGGCTTCACACGCCCGGCGTCATTTCTTTCGGGAAACAAGGTCACTTGCAGGTTGGAATCGCCAACAACATACTGAAATGAACCCATGGAGTAGCATCTCCTCGCATCCAAATTACTACTACTGGTCTCTCCTTCTCCCCTTTCTCCTCCGTTCATGTTTCTAAACTTCCCAAGTGTCACAGGGAAAACCCTCTTTTCAGTAGCAATCTCCTCCGTTTCTACTACTGTTTTCTGACTAGAAGCAACCCCACACTCTCCATCGCCCGGATGCCCACCCTCCTCCCTTGATTCGTCAAAATCAAAAACTGGGTTTTCAATGGAAAGGCTAGGGCTGAAAATGGTTCCTCTACAGAGAGGGCATGTTGAATTTGAGAGGAGCCATGTGTCTATACAGTTAATATGAAAAGCATGGCTACACATCGGAAGTAATCTGAGCTTGTCTTGTTCTGAAAATTCACAGAGACAAACTGCACAATCGAACGGCTCTTTGAGACCCATTATTTCTTTGTAGAGGAAGACGGGGAGAGCATCTATGAAAGCTTGATCTAGACCAGAGTCATGTAGATGGAACAGCTGTTGCAACTGTCTTTGGAGAGCATCGGATCCAGACATTTCTGGGTATTGGTTTGACTGTGATGTGGACGAGGAAGACGGTTGCTTTATGAGGAATCTGACAAGCAGGTGGAGTAGACCAGAGATGAAAAAAATAACAGCTAGAATGACTATAATGAAAAGAATAGCAGGGCTGATTCTGCTGCCAGATGATGATGGGGTCGACTCTTTCTGATAATTATTACTGTAAGGAGACGAGAAGGAAGAAGAGGAAGAAAGAGCAGGAGAAAGCAGTGGAGAGACGGGAGGTGGGTGGGCCAATAGACCCTCTTTTTCCTGCACTTGAAGCCGAATCCAAGACATTTTGGTAGATGGTTAGCTTCAAAAAACCATCTTTATTCTCAGCTTCCCGAGATCAAATACAAAAGTGCTGGTAGCTAGACCCCAAAAATTCATCTTATTCCTTGCCTTGTAATAAAAAAGAGTCGTATCTTTCCGATGTGAACAAGCCGAAGCACCGTTTCTTTTTTCAGACAAAACCCAATTCGTTTTATAAGATGTCTTGGCCAAAATACCAACTTTTTCTTAGATTTGAGATAAAAAGCCAATTGCTTGGAATGTAGAAAAATAGCTTTTCCCTTTGCTTGGTTGCAGAGTTGCAGTTGCTTCGGCTAAACCCAAGTTATTTATTGTGAAAGAGAAGGGAAGAGTGTACTTAGGAGAGTTAAGGTTGCAGCTTACCTACCTCAGATTTGGAGAGAGCCCGCCTTTAATGGAACCCATTTCATTTGTTTGGATGCTCTTGTCCTAGCGTTACAGCAGCAGAAACCCTAAGCAGACGGGTTGCTTCTGGAAGGGTTTTTATAAAACTGGAATGGAAAGGTAGGTTGGTTGAAGTCTGGTATAGACTTTGGTAGTAGCTTCGAAAGGGAAAGGGAACAGAAGGGGGAAGCCAAAAAGAGAAACAAGGGTTGTTCGTGTCATTCCATAGACCGACTAGTGAGTAGTGACCACACACAAGGGTGAAGGGTGTTTTGGTAAATTAAATTCTGAGGGAAGCAAATCATCCAGAGTCCAGACAAGGAGTTAGGACGACTTAAGAGGTTGGTTGGTTTGTGTTTAGCAGCAATCTAATCACAAGGCTTATTTGATAAACAGGACCAATCAGGGAAAATAAACCTGATAAAATCTAGATAATGAATGGCACTTATGGGCGGGCCCAAACCTATGGATCGGTTAGAATCCTTCGGTACTGAATATTTAGAACTAAAAATGGTACAGGCGCAAATATTTGATTAAATAGTTTTGCACTGAATCAATTCCAAAAGTTGAGAGAACTAACCACCCATTTGCAATTTTGCAGTACCTCCTCCACTAGGGTCAATTGACTTGCTTTCCAGATTCAGACGATTCATTTCCTCGTCGCCATGATTGTAGGTTGTGCCTTGTAAGGATGAAAATGAAACTTGTTATTGCTCTCCTTTTGATAATTTGAGCGAGGTTTAAATGAACATGAAGTACACAACCGAAGAAAAGAAAGGGAAAGAATTATATTTAAATGCTTTTGTTGTCATATACTTCTAAGCACAATTACTTGTTCCTCACTTTATCATCGCAATTGGTGGAAATTAGATTAATTATGTTGCTTAGTTTTATCATTTCTCTTTGTCATGACTCATGACACCATCATGACCATTGTATGATATAGATTTTGAGGGTGATGCTGTCACGGAAGAAATAAAATTTGATCAATCAGTGGTTGGCAACAGAAAAAATGTTATGAACGGATCAACTGGTTGGCCGGGGGATTGTCCATGATGACCATTTTATCCCTTCACAACTGTTTTTCTTGCCAAACAAGGTGCACGATGGTTCCCAAATTTTTTATTTTTTATTTTTCTGAAGTTCAGATCTTTGGGTTTAAAACCTTGCTTAGGCTCCATTTGTTTACAGTTAAATTTTGAATTGGTGTAAATGCATGAGAATATAAATGGGCTTAGTGTAAATTTTGATTTACTTTTTGTTACAGGTTTGACTTCTTTTTGTTTTTTGTTTGTTTGTTTGTTTTGTGAAGAGTAAAATGACAGGTAAAAGATTTGGTCCCCACTTTATGTTAACGAGGATGAAAGGAGAGAGAAATTTTGGTTTTTGGGAGGAGTAAAATAGGAAGCCAAATGACATCCCAACTTTACACAATAGTCCATAATACTTGAAAGTAGGGATGTTCATAAAAAGTCGAAAAAACCAAAATGAACTGAGTAAATGGAATAAAAAATGTGATATAAAGAACCGAAACGGTCAAAAATGAAACCGATCGACTGGAGGTACCAGTTTAGAGAAATGCTAAAACCGGTAAAACCAGGTTGATATCCGAAAATTGTCTATAATTTGATTGACCAAATCGAAATCGTGAGTGCCCCTACTTGAGAGAGAGAATCAAAGTGGTGCAAATTCAACAAAGTACAAAATTTGCATCAGGTAGGAGAGTGAATCATGGAAACAAACAAACAATCATATAACAAAATGCAAAATTTAGGTTGGGTTCAGATTTGTATTACAAACAAACAAACCATAAGTTTGGTGTGAATTTCATATAATAAGCTAACTAGGGAAGACTTGTGTCTATGTTCATGAACCAACAGAAGTATTAGTGGGCCGGGCCGGGCCGGGGCAAGGAAATGTTGGTTGATGAAGACTTTTAGATATCAGTTGTGCCAATATACTTTAATGAACGATGGGTTGCTTGGACTTACGAAGCTAAGCTGGACAGACGAATATCGGTCCAAGAAGACCAGCTATAAATTATGTCTATGACCTATTGACCTTTGTGGGTTGTTTGGAATTAGGAATCATTGATTGATTCTATTTGATTTTCTTCTGGTCAATTAGGGCATGGCATTGATGAAAAGCAAAAGCCAATATTACAAGGCGACCAGATAAGATTGTTTCTCCAAGGAATGACTGACAGCCTCCTTAATTACTTTATACCTCTAAACTACCTCTTGTCAAACACATTTATAGGTTAACTACATAACTACCTTCCATTAAGTCATTCTTTCATAACGAAAGTACCTAATTCTAACTTTTAAACGGTAAAAGTGACTTGGACCAATAGGTTAGTTTTTTGAACAATTTTTTTACATGACCAAATTGCCTTTGTCATTGGCATCCTCTAAATTGATTCGCTATAAGGTTGTGATTTATTTGATAAATAAACAAACGAGAAAGAGTAAGTCGAGGAGGGAATGTTGTAAAAATTCCTAAGACTCGGTTTGGAAAGAATACAAATACAATTATATACAATACAAGTATATATAAAATAATATAAAATAAGGTTTTGTGCGCACTCTGCATACTTGTATTTGTAGTCCTTCCAAATGGAGCTAAGAACTTTCCTTCAACTTTCTTTATCTAATTTTCTATCAAACCAAATTCAGCATAGAAACCCAACACCGACTCAATAAAATGCCAGGGGATTGACCCATTGACATTGATGCAGTATTAAAACATTAGTGTAGATAGCTTTTTCTTTTCTGTTTGTTTTTCTGGGTTATGGAGATATATAGAAGAAAGACTCCAAAACAGAATTACCACCACACAAACATCCAGGGAGGGCTATCTAAGTACCTAACACGATCATTCTAATATATATATGTGCCATTGTGCCAAGCTAATACTTTCCAGCTTTATGGTTTCTTCTCAAAGTTATTTATCTTTTTCTGGTTTTCTCTCAGAAGCATTAATAATTTTTTCTGATATTTTGAATTTTTTAATTCTAAAATTGAAAAAATAACTCAAGTACTAGCCAATATAATCACCTTTATTAAGAATTTTAACACTCCTTAACCCACCATTAACTCTCTCTTTCTCTCTCTCTCTCTCTCTCTCCTCTTTCCCATTAACTCTTTTAATTATCTCTCCTCAATTATTATGCCATTAATTCTCTCCTTCAATAACTAATGTCACTAATTATCTCTCATCTCCATTATTCTATTAATTTTCACAAAATTCGTTAACTTTATCAACATCTCTATTCACTTCAATTTAACTATATATATATATATCAGATATATTTAAATTAAATTGTAATTATTAGTAAAGATTAATTATATTGAAATTGAGATATTCAATGATATATTGTTACGCTAAACAATGTACTTCCATTTAAAATTATAGTCCATTTATATTCCATTTGAAAATAATAAAAAATAATGAGCCATAATAAGAATAATTTAGTAAATTATTTAAATAAAATAAAATAAAATAATTATTAATTGTTGTTATTGATAAAAATAATTTCATTAATATAATAAAAAATAATTTAATTAATACAAGAAATAATTAATTTACTAATATCAATTTAAAATTAATATAAAATTAATACAGATTTATAGATCGATTTCACTGTTGCTATGGCCATTTTTACTATTATCCCCAATACCATTTATCCCTCGCTGAACAAGAGACTATGGGGATATCATCGATTTTGAAGGTGATGCTGTCACGAAAGAAATAAAATTTGATCAATCAGTTGTTGGCAACAGAAAATGTTATGAACGGATCAACTGGTTGGCCAGGGGATTGTCCATGACCATGAGCTTGAGCCCATATCTGTGGTTCCCCAGGCCCCAACCATTTTATCCCTTCACAACTGTTTTTCTTGCCAAAAAAGGTGCACGATATTTCCCTATTTTGATTTTTTTTCCTGAAGTTCAGATCTTTGGATTCCAATGGAAGAAATTTTCAAAATTTAAAACCTTTCTTAGGCCCCATTTGTTTACAGTTAAAATTTTGATTTACTTTTTGTTACGGGTTTGACTTCCTTTTGTTTTTCTGTTTGTTTTATGAAGAGTAAAATGACAGGTAAAAGATTTGGTCCCCACTTTCTGTGAAAGAGAATGAAAGGAGGAAAAGTTTGGTTTTTGGGAAGAGTAAAATAGGAGGAATTTAAATGACATGGACCCCACTTTACACAACAGTTCATGCTTGAGAGTAGTAAATTGAACAAAAAATGCGATATATATATATATATATATATATATATATATTATATGTCACATATTATCTATATATTATAAATATATATATATATATATGCATTATGTATAAATATATACATATTATATTTATAATCATCTATTTATATATAATATAATATATATATATATATATATTTATAATATATTATATTTTTTACAATATATATTATAAATATAAAAAACCAAAAAACCGGAACAGTCAAAAACTGAAATTGATCAACTGGAGGTACTGGTTTGGAGAAATGTAAAAACCGGTAAAACCAAGTTGATTTTAAAAAATTATCCATAAGTTGATTGACCAAACTATAAACACCCCTACTTGAGAGAGGACCAAAGTGGTGCAAATTCGACAAAAGTACAAAATTAATATCAAATAGGAGTGTGAATCATGATAACAAACAAACAATCATATAAATACCCGAACAGAATGCAAAATTTTGGTTGGGTTCATATTTGTATTGCAAACAAACCAACCTCAAGTTTGGTGTGAATTTCATATAATAAGCTAACTAGGGAGGACTTGTGTCCATGTTCATGAACCAATAGAAGTATTAGTGGGCCGGGGCAAGGAAATGTTGGTTGATGAAGACTTTTAGATATTAGCTGTGCCAATATCTTTTAATGGGTTGACCTTTGTCGGTTGTTTGGAATTAGGAATCATTGCTTGATTCTGTTTAATTTTCTTTTGCTCAATTAGGGCATAGCATAGATAAAAAGTGATGACGCCCGATCTGACGTTATCTGTTGGTAAACAGCTTGGATGTCATACTGAGCAGGTGGCTTGGTCGAGTTGTAAGAGAAGAGTTATTAGAGTGTTCGGTTTGCTATATTCAAGGTGGGTAATCCGATGTTTAAATTAGCGAATTTGATGTATAGAATAGAAAGCGAGAGAGTTAGAAGATTTTGACAGCTAAGTCACATGTATCTCGTGAGGTTAAAGGAGAGGTCTTTATATAGGCTAACAGCCATGAGCTTCACGCAGCACGTCTGAGATATCTGGGAGGACATGGCTCCCTGGTCCACCATCCTGGTAGGTAGTTTCAAACACGGAGTAGGCTTTTGTATGAAGTGATAAGGCCTAATCTGATTTCCTCTGGAGTGGACGTTCCGGGAGCTGACTGCCAGAGGACTCGGGAGTGATAAGGTGCATGTAGAGGAAGTTGACAAACACATCGCGTAGGTCGCCACCTGGACCTCAATCAGGTCGACGAGTCCTTGGGGGAGGTCGTCCCTCACGCCGAGGTCCTCTGGACCGATATTGATGAAGTACGAAAGGTCGGCCCTGGATGAGGTGCTGCTAGCCGCTCTTCCAAGGTGCCCAATTTGTATACAAGGTGATTGGATTGATTCTGGGAAGTGCCTCCTTGACTTAGCAAGATTCATGATTGTCCACGTGGTGCTGAGGTGTCATACAATGAGGACGGATGCCACATGTTGCTGGGTCACTGGAGGATCAAATCACCCCTCATCAAAAAGCAAAAGTAAATTATTTGTCAAAGACCCAAAGGCTGTGTTTGATTGCAATACAAATAAATATTCAGTGATACAAAACCATGGTTGTGCAAATTATTCAGGTGTAAATTCTAACCTATTTTTGTTTCAAATTTTAACTTATATGGTTTGATTACAGTGCAAATGAAGTAAATTAAGACATAAAACATAATAAAGTAAAATCCAAAACAAAATTAAGCAAGAAATTGCATTTTTTATATTCACACTCCCATACATTTTACTAGTGCAAATAAAATTACATTGCAACCAAACACAGCCAAAGGGAACAAGAAAGTTTCTCCAAGGAATGACTGCTCTTGCCACCAATGAAACTGTATGATCTCTCTCTCTCAACTGCATTTGTGCATATACAGCCTCCTTACTTTATACCTCTAAACTACCTTTTGTCAAACACATTTATAGGTTAACTACATAACTACCATTCATCAAGTCATTCTTTCATAACGAAAGTGCCTAATTCTAACTTTTAAACATTAAAAGTGACTTGGACCAATAAGTTAATTTTTTGAACAATTTTTTTTTATATGACCAAAATGCGTTTGTCATTGGCATCCTCTAAATTGATTCGCTATAAGGTTGTGTACTTGTGTTTCATTTGATAAATAAACAAAAGAGAAAGAGTAAACCGAGGGAATGTTGTAAAATTCCTAAGCCTAAGGGTAAAATATAAAAACCTCCTCTGAACTCCCCTCCCCCCCACCCATATATGAGCAAGCTTCTATTGCTTAAGGTACACTGAACAAAACAGAGGACCAAAAAAGTACAAAAATTACCTTCTATAAGCCACTGGAACAATCCCAGCTCTGTACTGAGCAATGCGTTGGAAGACAGGCTGAGAGAGATCAAAATGGTGCTGGGGAGGGTTACACCAACCCCCTGCATTGTTATGAAGGGCATTGTTGGGTGGGCAGAAATTAGTTGTTGTGACGACAATGAAGCCAGGCAGGCACCACTTTGGGTCGTTCACACACCTAATCTCAAAACAAGCCCCACAGCTCAGGCCATTGTTGAACAGAGCGGTACTCAGAGCTGCAGTATTAGTCCCGTAACCCTGGCTGTAGAGGTTTCCATAGCCGCAAGCCCCGCCTGCAAAGAGGAAAAACAACAATCATAAGAGAATGCCGAAATAGCTAGTTTGCTAGCTAAGGTACGCCTTGGGTTCTTTATATAAACGAAAAAAAAGAGAGGAACACACAGCGAAAAGAAGGGAGGTATTGCCGTGTGAAAAGAATGTCCCTTCTCTCTCTCTCATTCTTCAATCTTCATCAATGACATCTCTGTGTCTGGTGTGGAAGCCTCAGTCAGAGACAAGAAGAAGAAAAAGGGAGAGCAAGAGGAGACGTAGAGATGCCATTGATGAAGATTGAAGAATGAAAGAGAGAGAGAGAGAAAGGGGTAGAGATGCCATTGATGAAGATCGGAGAATGAAAGAGAGAGAGAGAGAGAAAGGGGAATGATGAATCGTGCTATTCCCTATTGGTGAGGAGAGAGAGAGAATAAGAGGGAAATTAAAGTAGAGGGAAGGTTGGAGGGGGGAGTGCACCGCCATTCTGTCATTTTGCCTCGTGATGAAGATGAACAGAGTTCATGAAAGGATAAAATAGGTATTTTAAAAAAATGATAATCTCTTTAACCTTTTGGATCGTGGTCATTGATGAAAAAAAGGTATTTGTTAATTTTGTAAAAAATAGAGGGGAGGTTTTTGTTAAGATAAAACTATAGAGAAAGTTTATACCCTAAACAAAAATATGTATAATATAAATATAATAAAATAATATAAAATACAAAATTTTGCACTCTGTATTTATACTCTTTTCAAATGGAGCCTAAGAACTTTCTCTCAACTTTATCTAATTTTCTATCAAATCAAATTCAGCAAAAAAACCCAACACCAACCCAATAAAATGACAGTGGATTGACTCATTGACATTGATAGATAGATTTTTTCTTTTTGTTTGTTTTTCTGGGTTATTGAGATAGAAGAAAGACTCCAAAACAAAATTACCACCACGCTGACGTCAAAAAGAAGCAACCATCATTAGCGGTGCAATTTGGGCGGGCCCAGCCTGAGACTGATTTGGCCCAACCCGGAATTCTACACGGATTGGACTTGGATTTTTGATCCTCAGGCTGCATTCGGGCCCAAGAAAGTTTTTTTTTTTAATTTTTTGGGCTAGGCTAGGCTTGGGCCTAGCCCTTAGGCAATAATCAGGTTAAATCCAAAGATGATAATTCTCCGGTCACAGTTGCAGGTAACTGCATCGACTGTTTACAAAATGGTTTCTTTTTGGTGATTCTGTATGCTTTGTTGTGTGCTACTTATTTTTCATCCATCACAGTTGCATTAAATGGAACCCTTGCTTTTATCCTTTTATTTATTATATTTTTTTGGCGAGTGTTCTTCCAGTTTTTCCCCTTTGTTATTATTTTTTTTTTCTTTTTGAAGGAAATGGTTCTGCTGCTAAATATGAAAATTTGTTATTTGTCTGAGGGACTGAGGGTATGGGTTCCGTTTCGTTTTGTAGTAGCCAGATCTTGAATTTGTTGGCTGGTTTTGGTTTGGTTTGATTTACAACTGAAGTCTGGGAGATTTTACCAATATAGGTGGATTTTTGATTTTGGTCAATGGAAGAGACAGAGTTGCAGATGTTGCAGCGGTTCTAACTTGTACACCCGTCAGTTCAGGATACAAGATCTATTTTTGTGGAATACCGTAACTGAAGTGAAAGCAAATATTCTCTTTTCTATTTTTGTGGGAAAACCAGATATAGTTGTGACAGAGCAATTACTTCTATGACATAGCAATCAATCAAATCAAATATTAGTTTTAGAGAAAATAAAAAAGATATAAAGGAACTAACACACCTATTTGTTCAAATGTAGGAAGTACTGTTGCGGATCAGACCAATACAGAATGGGAGGCAATCACTTTTGAGGAAACTCTTTCTTATCAAGAGTAGATATAGTATGACGCYCTCACTTGAGTTAAGGTACTCCACCAGGTAAGATTGCTCTCATACCATTGAAAACACCTAACAAGATGGAGTTGATGATGATAAAAGGCTCGGATTGCGACATCTGTTGGTGGTTTATGATACAAGACCTTGTACCATTCAACAGCACCAATATAATTGATTTGCAGAGAGAGAAAAAATATATTTCACTTGTGCAATTTCTCCAATTCTTCATTCCTTTTTATAGTGCATGACGAATTTGTAYATTGGAAACATCTTGAATATAGATAACCACTTTTGCTTTTAAACCTGCCACTTATCCTCACTCTTAGTTGGGCTCTAATCAGGACATAGAATGGGGATTAAAGCCTATTTTTCTAAATCACTCTTGCCAAGTACTCTATTCCTAACGTCGATAAACTTAACCCAATAAATGTATACATGTGAAAATGTATAAAAGGCTTATTTAAAAAAACATTTTATTTATATAAAAATAAAATATAATATAATAAAATAAAAGAAAAGTGATATTGTGAATCACATTGTACACCAAAGCTAAATCAATGAGGGCCATAGGCCACTCCAATCCAACAGGTTCTTCGGTCCTGAGAAGTTTGAGTCGTTGAAAGGACATAATCCTTCGATGGTATATGGGAGTATGGGACATGATAAGCGGTAGTATCAACGATGGTGAGCATCAGGTTTATATGGTCAGCTGGAATGATCATTTCTTCAATTTGAAGATTGAATCCAATGCCTGTTATATAATTGATACTTTGGGAGAACGAGAACGACTGTTCGAGGGGTGCAGGGGGCGTATCGGACATGTTGATATTTTGAACCTGACCCGATTACTGATCTGAAGACTGTTTATTCAAACAAAACGACGTTCTTTGTCTCCTAACGGGGCCCATCACTCTCTAATCCCATCATCAAGACTCGAGTGAGGATTGACCGATTGAGGAGGGAGAATAATGTTTCTGTGTTGCGAGTTCTATCTTCCTCAAGTAAGTAGGTCTCGCCAAAGCGTGGAAAATGACGAAAGTGCCAGCAGCAGCCAACGGGACACGCAACGCAACCGCAAGCACTTCCGGGCAACGGGCAGCAAYAAACGGCGTTGCTCTCGATTCACTGAAGCCGTCGACGGCTCTGACGGATAAACAATCATTCGCTATACAGTAATGAACAGTTAATTTACAGTGAATTCTAAATAGCGATAGGGCATCCCTTAATATATATATATATATATATATATGTAAGATCAGTAAAGGCTCGCAAGGCAGAACAGAATCGTGACCGGGAGGCGAGATGGCTTCTTTGGCCGAAGAGTTGAGGAGGATGAGATGGTCTCTCCAAGGAATGACAGCACTCGTCACCGGAGGAACCCGAGGAATTGGGTCTCTCTCTAGATCTCTCTCTAATAGTTTGTTCACGACTCACTCTGTGAATTTATGTAACGGCGGCATGTGTTTTTCATCATCTTTTCAGGCGTTCAATCGTGGAAGACCTTACTCGCTTTGGAGCATCTGTACATACTTGTTGTCGGAATGAAACTGATCTCAACCAGGCCTTAATCGAGTGGAGTAAATCGGGTCTCCAAGTCACTGGCTCAGTCTGCGATGTATCAGTTCAACTTCAGCGGGAAAAGCTCATGGAGGAAGTTTCCTCACTGTTCAAAGGGAAGCTTAACATCTTAGTGAGTATAGTCGTCTTCTTGTATAATTTCACTGGATTTCGAAAGATGTATGGTTTCTATCTCATCTCAATCTATTTTGACCCACCCTTTTCTGTTGTCCTGTCCTCCTTGCAACATCTTCTTCTCCATTTCTAGCTTTGTCTTTCAGTTTTATATCTTCCTTGCTTAATCAATTTCAGACTTTAGCTTCATTAACCAACAACAGTTTTCTTCCATACAAGAATGCGGTTTAATGCCAGGCTGCTCTGTCCCAGGTAAACAATGTAGGAGTAAACATTGGCAAGCCAACCGTGGAGCAGACTGCAGAAGATTTCTCCGTGGCGATGACTACCAACTTCGAATCTGCTTATAATTTCTGCCAACTGGCATATCCCCTTTTAAAAAATTCAGGTCAGGGAAGCATCATCTTCATCTCCTCTGTCACCGGTGAGACAGTTATTAAATCAAGCAGTCTTTATTCAGCTACTAAAGGTGCCTAGTTCTTCCAGAAAATTAGAACCTTGTCAATAGTTCTGCAGCTTTTACTTCTCAGAATTTGAAAAGCAAAATGTTCACAATAATACAATTCATAATTTCTGTGCACCATCAGCTGCATTGAATCAGACCACCAAGTATTTGGCATGTGAATGGGCGAAAGACAATATAAGGGTAAATTGCATTGCACCTGGGATTACCAGAACATCCATGCTGGGAAAATGGGTAAAAGACGATTTTCAGCCTAGTAGCTCTGCGGATGAACGTATGACAATCTCCTTGGTGGATAAAGTAAGATTCGCCTCTGTTTTTCTTTTCTTTTTCTCATTCAGGATCTCATGTGCAATTCAGAACCTAATTTTGCATCTAGTGAGTTAAAAAAAAATACTAAAATAGTGTGTTTATAAATAAATAGTTCATAAATCCTAATGCTTTTACATTAACTATTTCTTCAGGTTCTTGAAAATAACAAAACATTCGCAGATGTGCTCTCCAGAATTCCTCTTCAGCGGATTGCAGAGCCTGATGACATTTCACCACTAGTCACATTCCTTTGCCTACCGGCTGCTTCATACATCACTGGACAAATTATTTGTGTTGATGGAGGATGGATCATCAACTGTTTCTACCCGTTGAATGATTAAAGACTAACCAGTGGTTAGGCTTCGCAATGTTTCTTCTCTTCTTCTGTATTAGCAAATAAAATCCATAAAATAAAACTTCCCTGATCTTTCTGGGTTTGCATTTGTAATCTCATTTTCTTGTCTAAAAGCTTCAACTTGAAAGTTTTATATCTACTCATAGAATAAATTGATGGGAACATTGGATTTGTTGTAATTGGTCTTACATTTGAAAATTAAGAATGTGATTTGTGGTCTAATTCTAATACCAATAGATTAGTTTGTGTTAGCAAGATGCCTCCAACAGCTTCAACCATTTGGAAATAGAATTACTTCTATTCTATCTTCACTCCGGGGGACAGAGGCACAGAGCAGAGTCCCACTTACGCGCGACGCAGGTTTGAATATTTTATCCCTTACCTCCATTTTCAGAGGGGTGCCGAATTTCACTTTAATGGCTGCGTATGTGAGAATATAGCTTCTCATCACCCGCGAGTTTTACATAAACTAAAATACCGGGAACATCTATTGTGTTCATAAAACAAAAATGATTCAATGAATTTAAGCCAATCGTGACAACGATTTCTTACCTACTTTACTCAAATTCCCATTCTTCGTTTTAAACGATTTAAATCTTTTCGATTCAACCCGCTCAAACCACCTATTTTATTAAGTTTATGGGTTGTGACTGATGGATGGTCCAATATGACGCCTGAATTTAGTTCCGTGTACGTTTGATGATAGGTATTTATTAGAAAGTTGTCATGTCATTGTCAAAGTAGTATTTTTTATTTGATTTATGTGGATAAGCGTTTATCAATTATTTTTCTCAGTTTTGAAGATAAATCAAATATAAACATTTATTTAATAAATGGAAACTATAACAAATACATAAAACAATGTGACAGATGTTTGGTTAAGGGTATTTAACGGAATCAGAATGGGCTGTTCCAATTCGAATTGTTTGATTGAGCAAATTCAGAGTTCCATTCCTATTCTTGTGGGAATGATATTTGATAAAATGGCCATTCCCTATCCATTCCTTGGGAATGAAATCCCCATTCCTGCCACATAACAATTAATCAATGTGTTTGTAGAAGCTATGGAACAGTCTGGAAGCCTTCTATGTTGTTGGTACAACAATTAATCAGTTTTCGTCATATAAACTAGTGTCAATTTAGTAGTAAGTTGAAAACATACCTCCCAGCCAATCAGGGCAACTCTTAGGGACCATTCTCTGATTCTAATTATTTAGTTGGGTGGAACTGGAACCTCCTCCTTATTCTTGGTGGAATGACATTTCGATGGTCATTCCCTTCCCCAATGAAAATCCATTCCATCCAATTCTGTTTTCGATTCAGATTTCAAACTGAACCAAATGGGTCCAGGGAAAAGATCATTCCAATTCCAATTGTAAACCAAACGGGCCCTTACTTTTTATGGACACCCTCAAAGTAACCAATGACTTGAAATCTGGAAGGGTTTTAGTCTTCGTTTAAATATCTCCTCAGGACGACATCACGGCATCCACCTTTAGGACGTCCAATAAAATTACCATAATGCCCATCCAGCCTTGTCTAAGGCCATGAAAAACTTCATCTCATTCATTCATTTTATATATCTTAAATTTGTAGACTCTTTACTTGGATGTCAATGGATCAGGTTCGACCCAGCAAACACAATGGACCTGAATCGATTAGGTTAGTTCTGGTTCCAAAATGTGATACCAATGAATCAGTTTCGGTTTTTGATATATTGTCCCGACTATCATTACTTTAAAATTGATTTTACCCATTCCAAACTAACTCCAGACCCGATTCAAATATGTATAATATTTTCAGAACCGATCAATTAAGTTATGAGTCTAAAATTAAAGACTCTAACGGGTCTGATTCGGTTTCAATTCCTGAATATTTCTTGCCAAGCCGATTCTGGTACAAGGGATGCAAAAAATGCTGGAAAATTTAGACAGAACCTTGAGATATTAAATTTTAAACACCTCCCCTCCTCCAATTGGAAGGAAATCTAAGATCCATTTTCTACCTTTTTGGACTGAAGTGTTATAATAACTGAAACTGAGGGGGAGCAATCAAATCCTAATCTTGCAGTAGCATACCAATACAACACATGAAGAACAAGAAGCCATGTTGCACCCCAAGTATATCATGCTGCAGTTATCAAGGAGGTTGAATATAAATACCTGTATCCATCGTAGCAGGCAAATCCTTGCGGAATAAGTGATGAATCAAGCTTGGCCGACTGGTGTGGTTTTCCTCAGTTAAATCTTCATTTTTTCTTAGGTTTTCTTAGMTCTTTGACTCTAATGGGGGTAGAGCAAAAGGGCGGCTAGATGATTTAACATATTGGGAACCATAACTTAGGAGCCTTTATATTTTGACGTAATAGGATCCCATTAAGCCTATATGGGCGAAAATGTGGTATCCACTCATTAAGCCCCATACCTTCTTGTTGAAATCTACGGGCTTTGCMTAAATGAATCACTTGATTTAGCCCATTTACAAAATAGCCCATCAATGCAATTGTTTCACTGAATATGTAAGCCCACTTAACAGAGATTAAAACCTAACAATCTCCCACTTGGGCTACATATGAGAACTGAAACAMTTATATTGAAGGAATTCTTTATGTGTACACTACTTATGCTAATTTCTTTAGACTTTTCCTTAGTTTCAATCTGGTCCATCTCCTGTACTAATATGAGACCATGATGGCTTTCGCCACATACATGCGTGACTAAGCCTTTCATGCTCACCATATCAATGCATTTAATGACATAAATCAAGTATGGATGAGTGGCATGAAAATTACATGCAATGTGATCTCAAAACATGCCTATTTCCAACTGGTTCTACTTTATTCTTTAGAGAGATCAATCAAAAATCACAAACATATTCAGAGATGTAGATGATGGAAAGAGTCATAAACTTTGTTATGTGTAAATGTAGACATGCAAAACATGCCTTAATCCATAGTACATCCAGAAGCAAAAGAAAAAAAAAACTCCCACTAAACCAAGGTATCATAAAACATGCCTATACCCATACAAGCAGTGTGCTCATGAAAGACCTTAGGTGGCAATCCCTTGGTCAACGGATCCGCTATCATGGAGTTTGTCCCTATATGCTCTATGCAAATCTGATCACTCTGAACTCTTTCCTTAACAGATAGAAACTTGATATCAATATGTTTCAACTTCACAGAACTTCTGTTGTTGTTGGAATATAGAACTACAGATTTATTGTCACACAATAACTTCAATGGCCTTTCAACGCCGTTAACCACTCGCAGCCCCGTGACAAAGTTACGCAGCCATATCCCATGATYGGATGCCTCAAAGCAGGCTATGAACTCTGCTGCCATAGTTGAAGGGGCTATGRGTGTCTGTTTGGCACTTTTCCAAGATATAGCTCCTCCAACTAACATGAAAACATAGCCCGAAGTGGATAGTTTGCTGTCTTGGCATCCCGCAAAATCAGAATCGGAATACCCAATGATCTCCAAACTGTCCGATTTCCTGTAGATTAACATGAAGTCCTTTGTTCTCTATAAATACCGCATGAGCCGTTTGGCTGCTCTCCAATGATCCAGTCTTGGGTTACTTAAATATCTGCCCAATAGTCCCACTATAAATGCTATATCGGGACGGGTACAAACTTGAGCATACATCAGGCTTCCTACAGCCGAGACATAGGGAACCTTTTGCATCTCCTTTATTTCAAGGTCTGTTTTGGGGCACTGACTGAGACTGAACTTGTTTTCTTTAGCCACAGGCGTATCACCCGCCGAACAACTTTTCATGCCGAATCTGCTTAACACCTTTTTGATATAGCCCTTTTGCGATAATCCAAGAATGCCTCAAGAGCGATCTCGTAGTATTTGTAAGTGTAGCACAAAAGAGGCGTCCCCAAGATCTTTCATCTCAAAATTCTTATCGAGAAATTTCTTGGTTTCGTGCAGCAAGCCTATATCGTTACTCGCTAGTTGTATGTCATCGACATATAGTACTAGGAAGATAAACCTGCTCCCACTGAACTTGTGGTATACACAGTCATCAACCACATTTACCTCAAAACCATATGAGGTAATCACTTGATGAAATTTGCGATACCATCGACGAGAAGCATGTTTGAAACCATAAATGGATTTCTTTAATTTGCAGAGCATAGACTTTGAATCTTTGGATTCAAAATTTTCTGGCTGAACCATATAAATCATTTCATCAATGTCTCCATTGAGAAACGTTGTCTTTACATCCATCTGATGTAGCTCTAAATCAAAATGAGCTACAAGTGTCATTATTGTCCTAAAGGAGTCCTTCGAAGAAACCGGAGAAAAGGTCTCTTTATAATCAATGCCTTCCCTTTGAGTGAAACCTTTGGCGACTAGACGAGCCTTATATCTTTCGACATTGCCTATTGAATCCCTTTTGGTTTTGAATATCCATTTGCAACCAATGGGTTTCGAGCCTTCAGGCAACTCGACAAGATCCCAAACGTCATTGTCTTTCATGGATTTCATTTTTTCTTGCATGGCATCGATCCAGTGTTGAGAGTTGGAGCTTCGAAGAGCTTCGCGAAGGTTGATTGGATCATCTTCCGCTAAGCCTACAGAGTCTTCCTGCTCCAGGAGGAACACGATATAATCATTTGGAATCGCACTTCTCCTTTGTCTGTTGGATCTCCTYAATGGCACTTCTTGAGGTTGTTGAGTTTGCTCTATGGAAGGAACTTCATTGTTGTCTTGAACCGGAATTGCTTCATGAACAGTGTCAGGAATTGTTGTCTGATCACTGTCGATAATAATATCAAAAAGAAAAATGAGTTTCTCTTCTTGCATGACAACTATTTYGTCAAAAAAGACGTTCCTTAATTATTCCCCTCCAAACTCAACATCTTCAAGATATCTCGCATTTCCCATCTCAAAGAAGGAGCGGGTAGTGGGATCATAGAACTTGAACCCTCGAGAACGTTTCGCGTATCTAACAAAGTAGCAACTAACTATCCTAGAGTTCAATTTCCTTTCATTGGGCCTATAAGGCCTCGCTTCAACTGGACATCCCCAAATGTGTAGGTGCCTTATGATAGGCTTTTTCCCAGTCCACAACTCATATGGGGTTTTAGTTACTGCTTTGCTGGGTACTCTGTTAAGGATATACACTGTAGTTTTTATTGCTTTTCCCCAAAGTGATTAAAGTAAAGAATAATGACTAATCATGCTTCTTACCATGTCCTTAAGTGTC